TCTAGTTTGCTGTTCTCCCTTGTACCCTGCATTAGAATTGCAAAGTCTATGATTTCATGATTAGTTTCACCCAGGCTGCCCTATTTGTTAAAATCAAGTCTAGAACAGCTTCCCCCCTAGTAGCTTTTTCAACCTTCTGAAATAAAAAGTTGTCTCCAATGCAGTCCAAGAATTTGTTGGATAGTCTGTGCCCCGCTGTGTTATTTTCCCAACATATATCCGGATAGTTGAAGTCCCCCATCACCACCAAATCTTGGCGGCTTTGGCGGCATGCCTGCGGGAGGTCCGCGGCTTCCGCGGTAATTCGACGGTGGGGACACTGAAGGCGTGGCACCGGCGGACCTCCCGCAGGCATGCCGCCGAAAGCCGCCTGACTGCCGTGCTTGTGGCGGCAAAAACCATAGAGCCACCCCTGGACAAATGCAAAGTACTCCACTTAGGAAGGAACAATCAGTTCCACACATACAAAATGGCAAATGACTGCCTAGGAAGGAGTACTGCGGAAAGGGATCTGGGGGTCATAGTGGACCATAAGCTATATACGAGTCAACAGTGTAACACTGTTGCAAAAAAAAGCTAACATCATTCTGGGATGTATTAGCAGTGTTGTAAGCAAGACACTAGAAGTAATTCTTCTGTTCTACTCTGCATTGATTAGGCCTCAACTGGAATATTGTCTCCATTTCAGGAAGGATGTGAACCAACTGGAGAGAGTCTAGAGAAGAGACAAAAATGATTAAAGGTCTAGAAAACATGACCTATGGGTTTGTTTAGTCTGGAAAAGAGACGACTGAAAGGGGACACGATAACAGTTTTCAAGTACATAAAAAGTTGTTACAAGGGGGAGGGAGAAGAATTGTTCTTCTTAACCTCTGAGGATAGGACAAGAAGCAATGGGCTTAAATTGCAGCAAGGGAGGTTTAGGTTGGATATTAGGAAAAACTTCCTAACTGTCAGTGTGGTTAAGCACTGAAATAAATTGCCTAGGGAGGTTGTGGAATCTCCATCATTGGAGATTTTTAAGAGCAGGTTAGACAAACACCTGTCAGGGATGGTCTAGATAATACTTAGTCCTGCCATGAGTGCAGGGGACTAGACTAGATGACCTCTCAACGTCCCTTCTAGTCCTATGATTCTAAGTATTCTGTCTGAATTCAACTAGATCAGCATAGATGGGTTAAGTGTTAAGACTATTGTTTTCATGTGCGGGAGTTCCTTAACAGACTGTGACAATGGAATGCAATTCACATCTGAAGAGTTTCAATTGTTTGTCAAAAGAAATGGTATCAAATGTATTACATTAGCTCCTTGCCATCTTACTACAAATGGATTACTGGAAAAGTTTATCCAGATATACTCAAGCAAGTGAACTGTGCTATAGCTCGGATAAAAGTACCTTACAACACGAGACTGTGAATTTTCTAGTGGCCTATAGGAATGCAGTACTTGCAATTACAAAGCAGATGCCAGTGATGTTTATTGTCTTGCTTGAACTTGTTAAAGTCTTATCTATAATGTGATGTTCTTACGAAACAAATGTGATCAAGTAGCTTCAAATTGTCACACCCAACTGCACAGTTTCATGTGGGAGAAAAAGTCTTAGTAAGAGACTAGGGAGATAAGTCATGGAAATCTGGAGTGGTTACATGTATTTTGTCATTCTGGGGATAAGCCCATAAGGAAGGGGATGGAGACAGAGGGGAAAAGACACAAGGCTCTTGAGCTTTAAACATACTTTAGCTTTCAGCAATCTGGCATTCCCATTTTCCATAATGAACCTTTTCATTTAAGGTGTCAATGTGATGGATTGGATCACAGAAACCCCCTTGGGACTGCCAACTGATGTGTTGAGACTACCTCTAAGTCCATTTTCCCTGCCAGCTTGGAACTTCAGAACCCTACCTGGTTTGAGCCAGACACACTTGTCTGCTGCAAACCCAGACCCAGGTCTGAACCATGTCCCCCAACGGCTGCAGTCTTAACTGAAAACAGCTTAAGAAGTGTTCCTGTCTCTAACACTCAGATGCCCAGCTCCCAATGGGGTCTAAACCCCAAATAAATCTGTTTTACCCTGTATAAAGCTTATACAGGATAAACTCATAAATTGTTTGCTCTCTATAACACTGATAGAGAGAGATGCACAGCTGTTTCCCCGCCCCCAAGGTATTAAATCTATACTCTGGGTTAATTAATAAGTAAAAAGTGATTTTATTAAATACAGAAAGTAGGATTTAAGTGGTTCCAAGTAATAACAGACAGAACAAAGTTAATTACCAAACAAAATAAAATAAAACACGCAAGTCTATGCCTAATACAGTAAGAAAGTGATTACACATAAACTCTCACCCTCAGAGATGTTCCAATAAGTTTCTTTTACAGACTAGCCTCCTTCTAGTCTGGGTCCAGCAATCACTCACACCCCCATGGTTACTGTCCTTTGTTCCAGTTTCTTTCAGGTACCCTTTGGGGGTGGAGAGACTATCTCTTGAGCCATCTGAAGACCAAATGGAGGGGTCTCCCAGGGATTTAAATAGACTTTCTCTTGTGGGTGGACACCCCTCCCTCCCCCTGTGTAGAATCCAGCTACAAAATGGAGTTTTGGAGTCACATGGGCAAGTCACATGTCCATGCATGATTCAGAACATACAGGTAGCAGCCATTGTTCACATGCTACCTTGAACATCCTCAGGTAGATTTCTTATGTGGATTGGAGTCTTCCAAGATCCATTGTCTGCTAAGTGTTTCTTGACTGGGCACTTAATGAAGCCCCATTTGAAAGTTCCTTTCTAAAGAAGCTGACCAAATGCCTTACTAAGGCTACTTAAAATCAAACAAGAACACAGCCAATATGCATAACTTCGAGTACAAAAATGATACATGCATACAAAGAGGATGAATATATTCAGTAGATCATAACCTTTGCAGAGATGTGTTACATGGCCTATCTAGTATCAAACATATTCCAGTTATATTTACTTTCATAAGCGTATTTCCATAAAGCATTATGGGGTGCAACGTCACAGTCAATACAGTGAATTAAGGTGTTTCAAGTTAGCTTATACTGCTGAGTTTAATGGTTGGTCTTTTGCCCTTAAAGCTTATTTTGTTAAACATCTTGGCCTTGGTGTTTAATTAAGTTCAGTAGTATGCACTGATGTATTGCTGTTTTAAACGGTAGGTCAAAGCGCATGACAGAACTTTCAGTGCATGGCATCAGGGTCCACATGGTGATTTAGTGCTTGACAGGCTGGCATGCTGTACGTTTACATCCTGACTTGCCTTGCAGTAAGTCTCCATGTGGACAAGCCTGAAAGAGGCAAAGGGATACAGCCCATCAAATAAGGTTAAATAGCGCTCATGCTATGGCAGATCTCAAACCAGTCATCCAAGCATGCTGTTAAAAGGGCTAGTTTTACATAAAGAACTGCTCAACGGTATCTTCATTTTCCATTAATAAATCGTATATAATCCCCAAACAATAGATTATCCTATCCCACCCAGTTTGCACTGAACCTTCTACACCCAAATTAAGTATCAGCATTGTGCAATGAGGGTTAGAAAAAATTTAAAATAAAATATAAAAATGACCAGCCAGGAGACACTTTCTCAAAAGTACACACCTCAGGCTAGAAAAATATTAGAAATAATTAGCAAAATAGTTAATGTTTATAATTCTCTGCCCTAAGGGTAGGAGGATTCAACAAAAAATAGTGGATAGTATCTTAAATTCCAGTCCTGCAAACACTTATGCACATGCTTAAAATTAGAATCATGCTTACTGAATTGGGGCTCAAATGGCACTTCATTTATACTGGCAAATGGAGAAAAAAGAAAAGACAATTATCTCTCTAATTCACAGAAGTTGTGGGTGAAGGCTTGGATGTTGCAGCAGCTTCTGCTCATGAGGACAACGTAGACAGTATTCAAGAAGGAACAGCCTCAGCAGTTCAAGAGATGCCTGACACATCCTCAAGGAACCAGGAGGCTGTTGAGGATGAGTCTGGGCAGAATGCAGAAGGTGCAGAGTATTGTCTACTCTAAAATGTTTTATTTCTAAAATAAAGTCATGGCTGTTTGCTTTGGGTTAGCTGCACTATTGTCTAGAAAAATTAAGTGGAGCCATAAGTATGCTAACGAATATACCATACATTTTAAAATGTCTTTTCTAGGTCAATAATTTAATTTTTAAATCATCACCACACACTGAAAATAGCTTTTATTAAGCTTTGGCTAATGTTAAACCCACAGGGCTTTTTGGGGGGACCATACTGCAATTGTCTCATGATAGGTAGCAAAATTATTTGATGGAAAAGTTACTGCCTAAAGAAAACTTCCACTTTTGTCACATGCCTAGGGTGACCAGATAGCAAATGTGAAAAATCGGGATGGGGTTGGGGGGTGATAGGTGCCCATATAAGAAAAAGTCCCAAATATCAGGACTGTCCCTATAAAATCAGGACATCTGGTCACCCTACACATGCCGTGACAAAGAATTTTTAGCCTAACTGAATATGAAAGGAGGAATCTTCTGACATGAAGTTGATGAAATATGCTAAAGGTGGTATTTTATTATTGTTTATAAGCAATGTAATGTTTAATACAGTTATGGTACTTTTATTTTCTCATTTATCTTAAGCAGTAATACGATATAACTAAACTAGAAGGAATGGGTCATGGTTGAGCAGTCTAGAGGATTTAAACACATCTTCCATTAAAATTAGAAACAAAATAAAGTTAATGACCAATATGTGTCCAAATTCCCTAGATGTCTTTGAAAATTTTAACCCATGAACCCAAAGTACCACTCTTATTTCTAAAATAGGGTTTGCTTTATTCTGTAGCTCAGGGGTCGTCAACCTTTCAGAAGTGGTGTGCCGAGTCTTCATTTATTCACTTTAATTTAAGGTTTTGCGTGCCAGTAATACATTTTAACATTTTTAGAAGGTCTCTTTCTACAAGTCTATACTATATAACTAAACTATTGTTGTATGTAAAGTAAATAAGGTTTTTAAAATGTTTAAGAAGCTTCATTTAAAATTAAATAAAAATGCAGAGCCCCCCGGACCTCTGGCCAGGACCTGGGCAGTGTGAGTGTCACTGAAAATCAGCTCGTGTGCCGCCTTCGGCACGCGTGCCATAGGTTGCCTATCCCTGTGTAGCTACACTGTTAAACCACTGAACAGAAATATTTCCAACTGTTTGTATTTTGTCTTCCAGCTTCTTCGGCAACAACGGGATCTCAAGAAATTCCTAAGGATTCTTAAAGGTATATTGAACATTCAAGCATGCCATTTTCATTTTAACCTCCAACTTCCAAGCTTTCTCAGTTATTTACAATCAGTCCATGTTGAAACTTTGCACACAGATTGTGACTGTGAATTCACATTCCATCCCCCATAAAAGAAAATGGTAAAAAATAACTTAGTTGAAGTGTCTTGAATAGCTCAAGAATCACAGTGGTTCTATTGACATCTTATTGGAGCCAGAGGAAGCATAGCTTTATTACACTATCAATGGTCTCATAATTTTTTTGTCTATTTATTTAGCAAGTTTTAACAGGTTTACAAATCATTGCTATATATATGTCAGTGACAAAATTATATTCATTACAACAGTGAGTTTTTGTTTAGAGAAACACTATGCAGTAATTTAATCCATCAAATCTCTATTTAACATGGTGCTGCCCTGCTACCGAATATGCATCATTACAGTTTCCAGGAGATATTGCTTCTAGTGATTTTTATTAAAATGAGTGAAACTTCTGATTACACATTTATCTGATTCAGCTCCCACTGACTTTCATGGGAGTTGAATCAAGCATTTAGGAGCTGGTGGAATCCTAATTTTGTTCAAGATAATGAGTTCTTCAGATGTTGATTTAAATGGGAACAGATATTGGATCCCTGGATTATTACCTTATCAAACTGAGCTCTTCTCTTGTTATCCTGTGTAAACACAATCAGGCCCAATATGTTCCTTTTAAGTACAGTCATTGACCAAGATCAACTTTTCAATTTTTAGGACTCTTCAACTTGCCTTTAATACTACTGCTGAATTTGTCTGATATCTTTCTCAGACCCAATTCAGCAAGGTTACGGAAGCACATACTTAACTTTAATAATGTGAGTAGTTCTACTGGAGACAGGGAACTACTCATGTAGTTTGAAGAGACAAGGTGGGTGAGGTAATATCTTTAATTGGACCAACTTCTGTTGGTGAGAGGGACAAGCTTTCGAGCCACACAGAGCTCTTCTTGAGTGCATACAACATGTGGTTTAAACTTAAGCATGTGCTTACGTACCTTGCTGAATTGACTTTCCAGAAGAAAGTGTTACCATTCCATGTGATTTTATATAGTCCTAAAGGAGAGCGTAAGATAGTGAAATGAATCTGCAGAAAAAATTGTCCATTGCAAGATTTTTTCCCTAAGGTTTACAACAAAAATGTAAATAATCATAAACAGAAAAACTCCCCAGTTTAGGATTCAACCCTTCCCAAAGTCATTTTCTGTCTCCCTACTAGTTTCTCAAGCAACCCTCTTGTAGCGCTTCCCTAGTGCATCTGTGAAAGAAGAGGGGGAAGTTGAACAGAAATGAACTAATTGTTCACCAGGGATCTGTCAAAGTGTGTGTGTGTATACAAAATGGTAAATAGATTCCTCTCCTCTATCTGTTTGCTAATTTGCTCAGTCCATTACATGGTACTATGTAATATCACTTAATACCTGTCACCATCTTGTGATTAAAAAGGCAAATATGGTTTTGTATTGTACTAATAGAGAGGCCATATGTTCTGGTTTTTCATCTGATATGTCCCGAAAACCTCTTTTCGATCACCTGAAATGTTCTGGTTTTTTCCTTTCATCGATCCAAACATTTTTTAATAACTATACGATGTTTGTTCAAGATATATTACTGTTCCAAATAGAATTTGCTCTGTACTTACCAGGAATAAAATGGTGCAGTGGAACAGGTATTCTGTTTGATGCACATGCTGGGAGTGCAGAGAAAAGCTGAATGAGTGTTGACACAGTCAAAGTGGTTCTTTTGTTCAAAGTTGAGACAGTGTGTCATGACAAATTCATTGAGAACACTAAGCTTCTGGAATTTATCCTGCAATCCGAGAAATGTGAACATATTGTTGAATCATAAGGTGATAGCAACAACACTAGTATAGATTTAAAAAGGAAATGTATTTTTGGTTTTTACATGAAGATTTTGCAATCCTAACTACTTGTTCCCATAAAAGTGTCCTAGGTTTTGATTTTGGAAACATAGTCACCTTAATGAATGTAGAGGTAGTAACAATATTATTTCATTAGTTAAGGAATAATAAACACACACAACTGTAAATGATCCATTTTTGAACTAACTGCAAATTTAAAGAAAAAATTATTCTGGGCAGTAAGGGAGAGTCTGTGCATGTGGTTGTTACCAACTAGAATATGGCTGCAAATATTACTGGTTAAAATGTGCTTCTACTCCGAAAAGCAACTTTTACAAAATAGCATCATGGGGTTCCAAATGACTCCATATATAATCCTGTTTAGTTTACAAATAAAAGGATGTATTTTTCTAACTGCTAGTGTTGCAAACACAGCATGAAATGTGAAAGGCAAGCTGGGTTTTTCTGTCTTATGCATCACTAGCAACAAAGATTCTCCACTCGGGACATAGTTAACAAGATGGTAAGCTTTTTATTATACATCAGATTGTAAGTTCTTTGGGGCAGGGACCATACTTTTACCAGTGTGTGTAAAATTACTAGCATACGTTGGGGTGTTCAAATTAATACATCATAAGGACAGCAATTCTGTTAATGATGTGTCATCCAGAATAGAGTTGCTCTTTCCCACAGATATACCTGTTCTCCAGTGCAGGAAAAGTAACAAAGGCTTATTTTAATTTATGAAGTCATTAGCTATGACTCTGAATAGACATTGAAAGATTCAATTTTTACAGTCACTTTTCAAAGTAGAGCCATGCTTCGATACATGTCTGGTGGTTGAGAGTTTGGCCCCTAAGGTGAAATCACTCAGGTGTGGAGGAGGCCTATATGAGGCCTGTTTATTAAACAAAGTTTGGGGTTTGGTATACAGAGACCGCAGCCTGCCTTGGCAAACACATTATTACAAATCTTTTAAACCCTTTATTAAAGATTCTGGGGAGGCTTGAGGAGGGGAAAGAAAAACACTTCAAGCCTTTGAAATGTAAAGTATTAAGTAAGGCTTTAATTTTAACAACATTCCCTCTTCCTTTTCCACTTAGCTGGAGAGAGTCTTTAGAAGGAAAAATCCCCTGTGTTGGACCGTCTTAGATGGTAATAACTATCTTTTTGGGGAAAAGAGAAGAAGCAGTTGAGATGGGCTGGCGTTTCTGTTGTTAGAAGTCAGATCCTGTTTCCTAGAAGACAAAACAAGACAAACACACTTAAAAGGGGGAGGGCAAAGAACTGTGAAGATAGACAGTGCGACTTCTGTCTCTGATGTTGACTCTCACTTGCAACCTCACTGCTGGAGAAACACAGGCACAGCACACGGGTTTTAGCCACTCTGAGACCTGGCAAATTTGTACCAGCATTGGGCTGTTTAGGGCACTGCATGTAGCAGCCTCTTTTTGGTCACAGGCTTTCAGCAGTGTTGCACAATATACAGGCTTGACTGACTAAGCCAAACTCTTATTAGATAGAATGAAAAAGGAGAGGGATAGGAAAGAGAAGAAATACGGTGGGAAAGGAAAGGAACACACACAGGAGGTGTGTGACAAAGTCTCACATTCCAAGTGGTATTCAGGACTTAGTCAGAGGCAGTGAAGGTGGCAATGTCATCTGATTCCCTCTCCCCGGTCTGGTCAGGACATCATTCAGGATTAGGATGAAGAAGGTCCAGGGTCCAGGATGCAGTGGGGATGGCAGCATCATGGTGGAGTTTGCTTCATCCTCTCTCCTCTTTGTCAGCCAGTTTTGCAGGAGCCAGTTTTCCCTGCAAAGTCTCCAAGGACCCCAAAAGAGAGTGATGTGTGGAATAGCTCATCTCTCTCATTATTTTGTTAACCAGTTAGGCCTAATGTCAGACTCATCAGTTTTGGGTCATTGATTTCCAGTATCACACTGTTCTGGTTTTTGTTATTGGGTATGATTTTCACACTGTGCTTGAGTTTTATCAGTAGGCCTTTTTGTTTGGACTAATTCAGTCTTTGTCTCTTTTCTGCACCTTTTCCCATCAGCATTTATTATTATAGATTATTGTGACATTTTATGAACTTTCACTTTTTGCAATTGAGCTCACAATCAGGGTTAATTTGTAGGCTCAATTATCACAGCCTTGTGGAGTGGATGGATCCATGCAGGACATCACTGGTGGAGAGGCTCTGGGGCAAGGCATGCATCCACAACCCCTTCACACTGCAGAGGGAAATATGTGTTGTCTCCCAATAGGATGATGCCAAAGAGGGTGTAATGGAGAAGAGCCTGTGGCTCCACACTCAGTGGTTCCAGTGGCCCAAAATTGTGGCTTAAGAGGTGGGGAAGGAGTGCAGGCACCGTGATGGGGTGGTGTTGCAGCAACACAGCCTATCTGGGGTCTAAGACTGAATCAGTCCCCCTAACCTTGTACAGGTCCCGGCACAAAGTCCCAATTACTTTAATTCTGACAGGGGAAATGGTGCACCTTTCTCTTTGGCCTTCACTAATCGTGTCTCTTAAGTCCAGCAAAAAGGGTATCATAATATCTGCTTTATCTAGCTTTGCAGAAGCACATTATAGAGACACAGCAGAACAGTAGCTTCACCAGTGACTTTAGGTGTTAGAATCCACAAAGTTTTTTTTTTTAAATTAAAATCTGAGGAGGGGAGGGGGGGTTTGTGGTAGTTACACTGGTCACTGACTGGCATCACTGCACTGGGCTATTGCATAAGGCCCCATCCAGCAAACACTTACATATATGTCTAATTTTACCCCATCAATAGTCCCATTGAAGACATTGTCTTCAATGGGACTACTTAAATGCTTAATGTTGTGTGTGTTGCAGGATCTAGGCTTAAGTGGCATGCCAATACCGTGCATCAAAATACATGAATGTTTTATCAACCATAAAGATTCCTTGAAGGTCTGGCAGTTTTAATTGTGCTAACCGTCAAAGTATTTGTAAACTAGCATGTAAGAGATCTATAGCATACAAACACTACTGCTGGATAAAATCCTCCCTATCAGATATCTAAAACAGGGATGACAGGAAGTGGTGGCTTGTAAATTCTGAAAACATATATGATGATTTGATTTAACATAATGCATACTGAAGTTCTTTTAAATACCTGATGAAACTCTAGGCATTGTTTACAACTTAATGACTATTATATAATGTTTATATGTGTTTTTAACTAATTAATAAGATATTGTTATAAAATGAAAGCTCAGTTATTAATGCATGGAGTTCAATTGTGACAGGAATTTTTAATATGTGCTTTAATATAAAACTGAAATATCTTTGCTAGATTTATCCATCCTTTCAGAATCCAGTACTATTGCTAAAACTAATTGTTTGCTCTTCAAACATAAGAACATAAGGGTCAGACCAAAGGTCCATCTAGCCCAGTATCCTGTCTTCCAATGGTGGCCAGTGCCATGTGCCCCAGAGGGAATGAACAAAACAGGTAATCATCAAGTGATCTATCCCCTGTCGCTCATTCCCAGCCTCTGGCAAACAGAGGCTAGGGATACCATTCCTGCCCATCCTGGCTAATAGCCATTGATGGACCTATCCTCCATGAATGTATCTAGTTCTTTTTTGAACCCTGCTATGGTCTTGGCCTTCACAACAGCCTGTAGCAAGGAGTTCCACAGGTTGACTGTGTGTTGTGTGAAGAAATACTTCCTTTTATTTATTTTAAACCTGCTGCCTATTAATTTCATTTGGTGACCCCTAGTTCTTGTGTTATGAGAAGTAGTAAACAACACTTCCTTATCTACTTTCTCTACACCAGTCATGATTTTATAGACCTCAATAATATCTCTCCTTAGCCGTCTCTTTTCCAAGTCTCAGTCTTATTAATCTCTCCTCATACGGAAGCCGCTCCATACCCCTAATAATTTTTGTTGCCCTTTTCTGAACCTTTTCCAATTCCAATATGTCATTTTTGAGCTACCATATCTGCACACAGTATTCAAGATGTGGGCGTACCATGGATTTATATAGAGGCAACATGATATTTTCTGTCTTATTATCTATCCCTTTCTTCATTATTCCCAGCATTCTGTTCGCTTTTTTGAGTGCCGCTGCACATTGAGTGGATGTTTTCAGAGAACTATCCACAATGACTCCAAGATCTCTTTCTTGAGTGGTAACAGCTAATTTAGACCCCATCATTTTATATGTATAGTTGGGATTATGCTTTCCAATGTGCATTACTTTGTATTTATCAACATTAAATTTCACCTGCCATTTTGTTGCCCATTCACCCAGTTTTGAGAGATCCTTTTATAGCTCTTTGCAGTCTGCCGGGGTCTTAACTATCTTTATTAATTTTGTATTATCTGCAAATTTTGCCACTTCACTGTTTACCCCTTTTCCAAGATCATTTATGAATATGTTGATAGGACTGGTCCCAGAACAGCCCCTGGGGGACACCACTATTTACCTCTCTCCATTCTGAGAACTGACCATTTATACCTACCCTTTGTTTCCTATCTTTTAACCAGTTACCAATCCATGAGAGCACCTTCCCTCTTATCCCATGGCAACTTACTTTGCATAAGAGCCTTTGGTGAGGGACCTTGTCAAAGGCTTTCTGAAAATCTAAGTATACTATATTCATTGGATCCCTTTGGTCCACATGCTTGTTGACACCCTCAAAGAATTCTAGTAGATTGGTGAGACATGATTTCCCTTGACTAAAACCATGTTGACTCTTCCTCAACAAATTATGTTCATCTATGTGTCCAACAATATTGTTCTTTATTATAGTTTCAATCAGTTCGCTCTGTACTGAAGTCAGACTTACAGGCCTGTAATTGCTCGGATCATCTCTGGAGCCCGTTTTAAAAATTGGCATCACATTAGCTATCTTCCAGTCTTCTGGTACAGAAGCTGATTTAAATGATAGGTTACAGACTACAGTAGTAGTTCTGTAATTTCACATTTGAGTTCCTTCAGAAGTCTTGGGTGAATACCATCTGGTCCTGATGACTTACTGCTATTTAATTTATCAATTTGTTCCCAAACCTCCTCTAATGATACCTCAATCTGGGACAGTTCCTCAGATCTGTCACCTAAAAAGAATGGCTCAGGTTTGGGAATCTCCCTCACATCCTCAGCCGTGAAGACCGATGCAAAGAATTCATTTAGTTTCTCCGCAATGGCCTTATTGTCCTTGAATGCTCCTTTAGCACCTTGATCGTCCAGTGGCCCCATTGGTTGTTTAGCAGGCTTCCTGCTTCTGATGTTCTTAAAAAAAAAATTGCTATTACCTTTTGAGTCTTTGGCTAACTGTTCCTCAAATTCTTTTTTGGCCTTCCTAATTGTATTTTTACACTTCATTTGCCAGAGTTTATGCTCCTTTCTATTTTCCTCACTGGGATTTAACTTCCACTTTTTAAAGGATGCCTTTTTGCCTCTCACTGCTTCTTTTACTTTGTTGTTTAGCCACCATGGATACATTTAAGTTGAACCTCTATTATGGTGTCTTTAAAAAGTTTCCACGCACCTTGCAGGGATTTCACTTTTGGCACTGTACTCTTTAATTTCTGTTTCACTGACCTCCTCATTTTTGTGTAGTTCCCCTTTCTGAAATTAAATGCTTCAGTGTTGGGCTGCTGTGGTGTTTTTCCTGCCACAGGGATATTAAATTTAATGATATTATGGTCACTATTACCAAGCGGTTCAGCTATATTCACCTCTTGGACCAGATCCTGTGCTCCACTTAGGACTAAATCAATAATTGCCTCTCCTCTGGTGGGTTCCAGGACCAGTTGCTCCAAGAAGCAGTCATTTAACGTGTCAAGAAACTTTATCTCTGCATCCCGTCCTGAGGTGACATGTACCCAGTCGATATGGGGATAACTGAAATCCCCCATTATTATTATTATTATTATTATTGAGTTTTTTTATTTTAATAGCCTCTCTAATCTCCCTGAGCATTTCACAGTCACTCTCATCACCCTAATCAGGTGATCAGTAATATATCCCTGCCGCTATATTCTTATTATTACAGTATGGAATTTCTATCCATAGAGATTCTATGGTACAGTTTGATTCATTTACAATTTTTACTTCATTTGATTCTACGCATTCTTTCACATATAATAACACTCCCCCACCAGCACGACCTGTTCTGTCCTTCCGATATATTTTGTACTCTGGTATTACTGTATCCCATTGAATATCCTTATTCCAGGTTTCTGTGATGCCTGTTATATCAATATCCTCATTTAATACAAGGCACTCTAGTTCACCCATTTTATTATTTAGACTTCTAGCATTGGTATATAAGCACTTTAAAAACTTACCTCCTTTTGGCTGTCTGCCATTACATGATGTAATTGAATGGGACTCTTTTTTATTTGATTGTTTCTGATCAGACCCTGCCTGTATTTTATCATTTTCCATCCTCTTGTTCTCACTAGGATATAGAGATTGTCTATAAATAGAGCCTCCCCTAAGGGATGTCCGAACCATGTGCTCCTCCGCACGTGTCGGCTTTCCCCCAGCCCTTAGTTTAAAATTTTCTCTACGACCTTTTTAATGTTAAGTGCCATCAATCAAACCATTTTGGTTTAGGTGGAGCCCATCTATACACCAAACCGTACACCTATTCCCTGCAAACCCTTAGTGTAGCTATCTCCTGGTTGATATATGAGGTCCCAAGATTGCTTTAGTTATTGCTTAGTCAATTAGCTTGTACAAGCTAACTCATGTTGATAAATTCAAAGTAATGTACACTGAAAAATATAATCCCAACTATACATACAAAATTATGGGATCTAAATTAGATGCTACCACTCAAGAAAGAGATCTTGGAGTCATTGTGGATAGTTCTCTAACCACATCCACTCAATGTGCTGCAGCAGTCAAAGAATGTTAGGAACCATTAGGAAAGAGATAGATAATAAGACAGCAAATATCATAATGCTACTATATAAATCCATGGTACGCCCACACTTGAATACTGCATGCAGTTCTGGTTGCCCCATCTCAAAAAATATATATTAGAATTGGGAAAAGTACAGAGAAGGGCAACAAAAATGATTAGGGATATGAAACAGCTTCCATATGAGGAGAGATTAAAAAGACTGGAACTTTTCAGCTTGGAAAAAAGATGACTAAGGGGGCATATGATAGAGGTGTATCAAATTATGACTGGTGTGGAGAAAATAATAAGGAAGTGTTATTTTCTCCTTCACATAACACAATAACCAGGGGTCATCCAATGAATTAACAGGCAGCAGGTTTTAAAACAAACATAAGGAAATATTTCTTCACACAATGCACAGTTAACCTATGGAACTCATAGCCAGGGATTTGTGAAGGCCAAAACTATAACTGAGTTCAAAAAAGAATTAGACAAGTTCATGGAGGAAAGGTTCATCAATGGCTATTAGCCAAAATGGTCAGGATGCAACTCCATGCTCTGGGTGTCCTAGCCTCTGTCTGCCAGAAGCTGGGAGTGGACGACAGGGAACGGATCACTCAATAATTGCCCTATTCTGTTTGTTCCCTCTGAAACACCTGGCACAGGCCACTGTCAGAAGACAGGATACTGGGCTAGATGGACCACTGATCTGGCCCACTATGGCGGTTCTTATGTTCTTAAGTCAGTTTAATTAAACATACAGCGGTACTTCTAATAGCTGCACAGGAAGTGATGGTGCATCAGGTTTATTACCATTAAACATAAGTTACTATTCTCTCTCTAAAACGTCAGTGTATATTTTTCTCTCTCTCCCCAGTGAGCAACGGTGACGCCTTTGAAGAGTTTCACAGAAATATGTATGACAATCAACCAGCTGACTGATGTTCTGAAACCAAATGTTCTTCTTTGGAGATGTAAAACAAATCTTGCAGGTTGTTGCAACTAAAACTGCTTGTTAGGGCTAGCATTTGATATTTTGATCAGTATTCATTCCTTACAACAGACAACCTAACATGGCGTAGTTTGTCAGAGAGAAATAAGCTTTTGCAGTGGGTATGCTCCTTTCTGAATCAGAGACACAGCATACAGTAATATAGGTCAAGGTACCATATAGTACACACTACATCTATTTACCAAGAAAACAATAGATTTAATTAAATCCACGGCAGGTGAACTTTTGTTTAAGTTTTTCGTTTAAATCTAGTTGTTTACATTGACTCCTTACCCGTATTCTAAGCTGTGAAAGGTGATTATAACATTGCAATATTCCACACTAATCAGAAAAACGCTTTATCATCTTATTTATGTTTTATTGAAGTAAAAATATTATGGACATAATCTCATACAAACTACATATATGTGACTAATATTTTTACAAAAATACAATAAAATCTTGGCCACAAGTCAAGTTTTATATTATAAATAGGAATATTATTGATATTTGGCATATGGAGTTATATATAATGAGGTGTTTATGTTCTTATTGCATAAACATTTTAGATTTTATCCTTTCCCTCACATTTGTACACTGTCTCTATTAAATAGATTGAACTAAACTTTCAAACTAAGATATAAAAAACTATAATTCAATATTGGAAGTGCTTCGAGGCAGACAGCAGTGGGGCTTTTAAAGCTCCTGTTTACAAAATATAATAAAAAACAACCAAACAAAAAAACTCCTGGCAAGGTGTAACAACAGTTACACCATAGAAAAATTACAGAAAAGCTTGAAAAATACACACAAAACTTAATAATATGGCCAAGGATTATTATTGATGATAGTACTAAAGCTAGACCAAAAATAATATATACCATATACAATTTATATGGCAACTATGAATCCTACAAGTAGTACTAGTATTTCTTCTCTAAAGCTGATGGAGAACTCCTAAAAGAAAATTAATGTAGTGTAGTTTACATGTGGAATTCTTCCTTCCGATTACATACAAATGTATCCTCCCTCCCCGACATCCTACAGCAAGTTCTAATGTTGTCAAGATGAATAGATGGCCTTAATCTCCGCACCCTGTATAATGCAGGGGCAGAATGGGGCTTCTGAACTTCAATAATCTATACCCCAAACTTTCACTTTAAAACAATGCTATTCTGATTAGAAACAAATACTATTGTGGGAAGACATGTTTTGAATAAAAGTCTTAATCTGATATTTCTGTGGCTGTGATCTGTACCCTACTTAACTTACTTCAAATGTTAAACATGCTGCACCTATTTTTAAACATTACATTTACTGTGCCGTCTTATCCTTTTCATTCATTCCCAATGAAAAAAAGACTTTATACTTTTATTTTTCAGCAAGTGCTGACTGTACTTCTCAAAAAGTGGGTGTTGGAGAATGCCCAGTTGCTTTCTGAAGCTGCTCTTTCACAAGAGTGAGAAGTCTGTCAGCCTTCAAGAAGAAAGGTCCTTAGAAGCAGGGCTCAGTCCAGGACTTGTTTAGAGTTTCCACAGGCTTTTTAACCGAACTAAAGAATCTAATCACTACAGTGCAAATTGTACAGCTGCTTCTTGTCATAGCTCTTTTTTTAAAAATATGTCCACAGTGCTTCTGCAACCTACGCTACAAGAAATCCAGCATTGTACTGTAAACTCTTGCTGAGACTACATGTTAGCACAATATACAGTACTGCCTACTGGATAGCTATGGATTTGACGTGTGATGGTATTTCGTAGTATGTACAGTGGTGCTCTATGTAGAATAGCAAACTACAACATGCAAAGTACTTAAAAGAAGTTTGAGAATGTAAAGATAAAATGTATCCTTGTCTATGATCACGCCACTCTTTATAACAATAAGAATAATAATTAGCGCTTATAATCTGAAGGTGGCAAAGTGCTTTACAAAGGATGATATTATCCCTGTTCTGTAGACGAGGAAAACAGAGGTTGAGGTGGCTGAAGTAACTTGTCAAAGTTACACAACAGCTTAATAGTAGAGCAGGGAGTAGGACACAGGTTTACCAATTCCTGTCCAGGTCCCTATTGGTTTTGGATCATGTTGCCTCCAGATAAGATCCATACCTATTCTGAGTATGTGGAGGGTGCTCATTATTGTAGTATTTAGGCATCAAGGGAAGCCAGTTAAGGGCTTCTCTTAGCATATAGGTAGTTCTGGTTGCATGAGATTAGTTTTGGTGATAAGTATTACAGAACACATTTAGAGAAGAAGGAAGGGCTTTCCCCCCTCCAACAGAAGGCAAGTGCTTTCATGAAAATGGTAATACCTGAGGCCTGGTCTACACTAGGAGGTTATGTTGAATTTAGCAGCGTTAAATCGAATTAACCCTGCACCCGTCCACACAACGAAGCTATTTATTTCGACATAGAGGTCTCTTTAAATCGATTTCTGTACTCCTCCCCGACGAAGGGAGTAGCGCTAAATTCGACATGGCCATGTCGAATTAGGGTTAGTGTGGACGGAATTCGACGCTAATAGCTCCGGGAGCTATCCCATAGTGCACCACTCTGTTGACGCTCTGGATAGCAGTCCGAGCTCGGATGCTCTGACCAGCCACACAGGAAAAGCCCCGGGAAAATTTGAATTCCTTTTCCTGTCTGGCCAGTTTGAATCTCATTTCCTGTTTGGACATCGTGGCGAGCTCAGCATCACTGACAATAATGCAGAACTCTCCAGCGGAGGTGACCATGCAATCGCTGAATAGAAAGAGGGCCCCAGCATGGACTGATCAGGAAGTCTTGGATCTGATCACTGCGTGGGGCGATGAGTCCGTGCTTTCGGAGTTGCGATCGAAAAGACGGAATGCGAAGATCTACAAGAAGATCTCAAAAGCCATGACGGAGAGAGGATACAGCCGGGATGCAATGCAGTGCCGCCTGATAATCACGGAGCTGAGACAAGCGTACTAGAAGACCAAAGAGTCAAACGGATGCTCCGGATCCCAGTCCCAGACATGACGTTTCTACGAGGCACTGCATTCCATTCTAGGTGCAGCCGCCACCACTACCCCACCACTGTCTGTGGACTCTGACAATGGGGTATTGTCGACGGCCACTGCCTCGGAGCTGTTCGCGGACGGGGAAGATGAGGAAGGAGATGAGGAGGACGAGGCAGTCGACTGCGCTTTCAATGCTGATTTTTCTGACAGCCAGGATCTCTTCATCACCCTCACGGAGATCTCCTACCAACCCTCCCAAGGCGGTAACCCGGACCATGAATCAGGGGAAACATCAGTAGGTAAGTGTTTTAAACATTTATTTTGAATAGAATAGGCATGGTATGTTAGCAATAGGTTTTTAATGATTAGTTTGCCCTAGGCGCTTAACTTTTTAGTCCTTGCCAGTGCAGCTACTGGAAAAGTCTGTTAACATGTCTGGGGATAGAGTAGAAATCCTCCTGGGACATCTCCACGAAGCTCTCCTGGAGGTAATGTGAAAGCTTTTGCATCAGGTTCCTGGGGAGAGCAGCCTTATTGCCTCCTCCATGGTAGGAAACTTTTCCGCGCCAGGCTAGCAGCATGTACTCCGGTATCATTGCCTGGCAAAGCATGGCAGCATACGGCCCTGGTGTTTGCTGGCATTCACGCAGCATGCGGTCTTTCTCTGCCTCCGTAATCCTCATCAGAGTGATATCACTCATGGTGACCTGCTTTGAATTAGGGGAATTTTAGTATGGGGACTGATTGCCTGTTCCTTTAAATAACTGTAACCGGCGGTTTACAGCCACGTGGTGGGGGCGGGGAGGTGAACCGTTCATGCTGAGCGGTTCACCGGCAGCGTGCAGGGATCTTTCCTGAGCCCAGCCATGTGGTGGGGGCGAGGAGGCGAACCGTTCCTGCTGAGCGGTTCGCCGGCAGCCGCGACGGGGGTGGGACAGGGGCAGAGTTCATGCCGGCCGGATCGCCGGCAGCAGGAACTGGCCAATGCTAGGAGCATTGCTTGGAACGTGAAAAGAGGGCACTGCTGTAAATTAAGCTTTAAGCAGCCAAAAGTCTACGGCTTACCATGGCTGCCTGCTAGCAGAATTCCGGTGTCCGGCCCCGCTTGTGTGACCTGTACAGCAAGACCCCAGGCACTCAAGGTGAAGACAGAAAATTCGACCTTGTACTGAGTGCACATGTGATAGGTACTGTGCATGGTCTTGTTCACAGAGAAAGACTATATTCATTGTTTGCAAAAATGTATCTTTTTGAGGAATTCACTCCCCTTTTCCCATCCCACAGCTGCTAGCGTCTCCCGAGCTACCCCGGCATCCCCCTGCCAGAGGCTGGCGCAGATCAGGCGGCGAAAGAAAAGGACACGGGACAAGATGTTCTCAGACCTTATGGTCTGTTCCCGAGCCGAGGCGGCACAGCAGACCCAGTGGAGGGAGAACATGTCGCAATACCAGTGATCACACAGTGAAAGGGAAGACAGGTGGTGGCAGGAAGGCCAGCAGGCGACTCAAACGCTGCTTGGACTAATGAGGGAGAAAACGGACATGCTCCGGCGCCTTGTAGATGTTCTGCAGGACCGGAGGCAGGAGGGCAGAGCCCCCCTGCATTCTATCTCTAACCGCCCTCCCCCACCACAAAGTCCCATCCCCCCTTCACCCAAAGTCCCAAGAAGGAGGGGCGGCAGGGGCCGTGAAAACAGTCACTCCACCCCTGCAGACTGCTCAAATTGCAGAAGGCTCTCATTCCCAAAGATTTGATACGTCCTTTCCTTCCCTCCAAATGCACCTCCCCCAAGCCCCCGTCCCAGTTTCATCCCCTAACTGTGTAGTTCTTAATAAAAAATACGTTTCTGTTAATTACTGTTTCCGTCATGTTCTTTTAGATGACAGTGTGTTTGAAGGGGGGAAAGGGGTTGGTAATCGGAGAGCACAGTCACCTTTACCAGGGTACAGACACGGGGGCAGGTTCAGCAGAAGGTCACACACACATTGCAGTCACTAGGCACACTGGTCAGTCTGGGAGGTGGTTTTCATGTTCTGTAGGGGGGGGCTATGTGAGTTTGTGTTGGGGGAGGGCGGTTACAGATTTTATGCAGCGGTCCTTAGCCTGGATGACAGAGCCATGCAGCAGGGGATCTGTAACCACCCTCCCCCGCCACAAAGTCACATAGCCCCCACACACAGAGTCCCGAAAAGGAGGGGTGTCAGGCTCCGTTGAAACAACCAGTCCACCACTGTGGACCGCTCTAGGAGCAGGAGCCTGTCATTCCTCGAGTTTAGAAGCGTCCTTTCCATCACTACACCCGCTCCCCACCATTGTCTGCGTCCCAGTTTCAACCCTTTGCCGCAAAATCCTTAATAAAGAAAACGGTGTTAATGAACAAAGTTTCATTTATTTTATTTTTAAAGGTGTGTTGGAAGGGGGGGAAGGAGGTTGGTAACTGGAGAGGATAGTCAACATTAACTGGGTAAAGAAACGGGGGCAGGTTCAGCTTCTGTTTAAACAAACGTAATAGTCACAGCTTACCCTGCTCACTCTGGAACCTAGCTTCCAAAGCTTCCCAGATACACAGTGGGCTCTTCTAATCGCCCGGGTGTCTAGTTGGGCGTAATCAGCAGCCAGGCTATTTGCCTCAACCTCCCACCCCGCCATAAATGTCTCCCCCTTGCTCTCACAGAGATTGTGGAGCACACAGCAAGCTGCAATAACAATGGGGCTATTGGTTTCGCTGAGATCAGAGCGAGTCAGTAAGCTTCTCCATCTCCCCTTCAGATGTCCAAAAGCACACTCCCCCACCATTCTGCACTTGCTCAGCCGGTAGTTGAAGAGCTCTTTTTCACTGTCCAGGGCGCCTGTATAGGGCTTCATGAGCCAGGGCATTAGCGGGTAGGCTGGGTCCCCGAGGATCACTATAGGCATCTCCACATCCCCAACAGTTATTTTGTGGTCCGGGAAGTAAATACCTTCCTGCAGCCGTCTAAACAGACCAGAGTTCCTGAAAATGCGAGTGTCATGAATCTTGCCCGGCCATCCGACGTTGATGTTGGTAAAACGTCCCCTATGGTCCACCAGTGCTTGCAGCACCATTGAAAAGTAACCCTTTCGGTTAATGTACTGGCTGGCCTGGTGGTCTGGTCCCAGGATAGGGATGTGAGTTCCATCTATAGTCCCACCGCAGTTTGGGAATCCCATCGCAGCGAAGCCATCATTGATCACCTGCACGTTTCCCAGTGTCACTACCTTTGAGAGCAGTA